TCTTGCATATCCAAGTACATGCTGTGTACTTTGTGTATGTGTGAATGTAGGCAGATCCATCTAGAGATATAAATAGATAGATATACAGACAAATAGATAAATAAAAATGATGATAATAAGAATAGAGAATGTACATCAATCAGATTATTTTGCATTTTAATCCTACTGGATTTGTGTGCCTTTGCAGCCTAATGAATGTTTTCGCAGGTTTTTTCCTTTTAGTTTTGCTTTCATTTTTATTATTATTTTCACCATGTGTGCATCCCTGGGTGGGGACACGGATGGTTCTTTGAATAATCACGGATGTCATAAAACAAATGTTTATTTAAGGAGAAGACTATCCAGGTGTTTTTTTTTGTCACCGTTTATCATTTGCAAAGTCACATTTAAAACACTCCCATATCTGTGTTACCAATCTACCATAATGGCAAGAACCAATTCATCTGAGCAGGTCCAACTAGACTGCTCAGCAGACTGCCAACGCACCATCTGTTCTGAACCATGAATTCTGATCGAATGTTAGTCATCTTGATATGTGGGCCAGAAATGGGAAAAGAGCAAAAGTGGAGGTCAACAAGAAAACCACAAAAGAAGTACAGCATTAAGAGTACCCAGTGGCTGCAGTAGAAAAATTTCTTTGTTTTTAACATTCGGTTTCACTTCAACTCTCCAACTTCCTTCTTCTGCACGGCCCAAAAAACAGCACAGACAAGAATATTCCACAGACTAGGAGCGCCATATACTTTGTACACTGCCTCCATCAACAACAGTTCTTATCTGGCAGATGGCTCCTTCCTGGACTGCCAGCAGACTGCAACGCTTTTGCTTGTTCTGTACTTGGTCCATTATCCAGCCATGCAAAAAACACAGAAGCTATAACATACAAACAGCTGATTACCAAGTCCCCACTGTGGGTTTTTAAGATGAAAACAACAACACAGTTAAAGGTTAGAAACAATTTCAGCTGGTTATTTTAGATGAATTTAACTGACACTTCCATATTTCTTTCTTTTTTCTAAAAGTAGACTTTACAAAGGGTCTTACATTTAAAAACAAACATCAGCTTTCATTTATTGTAAAAACTGGCTTACAGGAGGTTTACCAGTTTTAAGCTACGGCAAAACCTTTCAGTTTTCAGCATGACAGTGAGTGGCACCGTGGCAACAATAACTGCAGTTCAACTCATCTGTGATTCTATTCTGATGGTTATTTTAAGTTGGTAATTTCAAATAGATTTGTATTAGAGATAAATCATGTCATTGGCAGATTTTACTTTGAGGTTTTTTCTGACTGGACTGAGTGGATTTCTCTTCAGTAGACAGATAGTTCAGATGTTAACATTTAGTATCTGTCACAATACTGGGTCTATGACCCAGTGTTTTGTGTTTGTTGTTTAATTTATATTATTTGATTCGGTGTTATTTGTGGGCACCCCATCCATCCTGGACACCCTCATGTGTCATGTCTAGTCACCCCGGCCTCTATGTTTGTGCATCTCCTGTGCCTCCCCAGTCATATATCCAGGTCTCAGTGTCAAGTCTTTGTCTTTGTGAATGTCTCTTGTTACCTGTTTTACTTTGACAGTTTTACATCCTATGTTAGTGTTTGCAGTTTTGCTTCCTCCCGGACTTGTTGTGTGTGATTATCCCCAGCTCAGTACAGATAATTTTTCTTTGGTTTGGTAACTTGCTGAATACAGATAATTTTTCTTTGGTTTGGTAACTTGCTGAATACAGATAATTTTTCTTTGGTTTAATGGTTATCAAACCAAAGAAAAATTAATTATATAAAATGTTATTGTGGTTTAAAATATATATATTTTTAAAATAATGTGAATTCATTAATTCATTTGGGACAGGCACAAGTAAAAAAGTTATTAATATGGTTACTTAAAAAATAAATCTTAGCTAACCTTGTAATCTTCAGCAATCACAGTCTTTTCATCCAAATCCAGGGTCCCCCATTTTTGCATAAGGATTTTCAAGTTGTTGTAGTGTTTTGTTACATTCCTTTCACTACAAGGACTGCAAAATACTATTGCTGCACTATGGACAACATCATCCATGTCTTTTAAGTTATCACAGCATGCAAGGAGCCCAAACACATGCATTCCAAGCCTGTAGTTCTCTGG